ATGCAAAACATTTTCAATTCACCAGATTCATTTTTGATAATTGAACCAAAAAGGATTCATTTAGGCTAATTACCATGCTTAGGGCTGGTCATTTGGTTGAGCAGATAAAAAGAAAGCTCATTGGGATGGGTGGCCCTAAAACAGCCCATCCAACTTGAAATTTTTGTCCACCTTTGTCCATTGATTTTGTGGGGTTGGAAGCACGGGTGATAATCTAGTCGAGTCAATTGAGTTTGAGTCGAATTTGTCGTACTCATTTTTTCAAACAAGTTTATTATTAAATCTAAACGAGTCAAGCCTGAACTAAGACCAAGATTTACATATAAATAAGTGGAGCTTATCAAACTCATTTTTCTAAAATAGTTTAAAACGTTATTTAAGTTCAACTAATTTAGAAAACGAGGCGAGCCTAAACCAAGCCCAAAACAAGCTGAATTTGAACTAAGCTCGAGTAGCTTGGTTCAATTATCAACTCTAATTATATGAATAATGCTCAAATTTGACTTGGGATTTCTTTCCCTTGGCTTAACTTTGGAATGAATTCAAACATCTTTTCATCCAGATCAAACCGGTCCAGGCTAATTTTTTTTTTGTTGGGTTTTGAACCTCTAGCCGCGACTCTCACCTTAAGATACTAAGCCAACACTTAACCAAACTAACAATGCATGACGTACTACACGAATAAATTTAAATAATATTTGTTTATAAAAAATTTAAATTATACAAGTAATTAAATTAAAGAATAAATTAAGTGTCGAATAATTAATTTGTATTTTAATTATTATTAAATTTAATTATTCATTTATTCTATGCGTCTTTGAATAATTAATCTGTCATTTATTTAGATATCTCTATAATCCCTTTAGTCATTTGTTTATCTAATTATATTATAGAATTATTAATTTTTATTTTGTTAAATAGATTGATTAGATCGCTTATAATATTACTAATTATTATCTATGCCCGAAGGAATAGAATAATAAAAAAAAATGGTCAACAATACACATATTTGTATTCACACCTAAAATCAAATCACAAACATAGAGGAGAGAGAAATTAATTTAAGTATCAATTGTAGTAGGGGTGAGCGGTGGTAGTAGTGGTGGGCAGTAGTGATGATCGTGAGAGATGATGATGGTTATGGTGAGTGGTGAGGACTGTGGTGGTGGTGGTGACAACCGTGAGTGACTATGGTGATGGTGGTGATGAATTTTGAGTGATGATGGTGGTAGTGACAGTTATGGATGATGGTGGGTAGTGGTGGTGGGGTGTGGGTGGTGGTGGACGACGGTGATGGTAGTTGGCAATGATGGTGGTGGGCAACAACGGTGGTGATGAGCGGTGACGATGGTGGTAATAGGTGACAGTGAGTGGCTGTAGTGGTGGGCGATGATGGGTGGTGGTAGGTGTGGTGAGGGTGGGTGACAATAGCTGGTGGTAATGGTGAACGACGACGGGTGATGGTGAGCTATGGTAATGGGTAACAATGGACAATAATGGTGGTGGTGGATGCTAACAATGGGTGACGATGGGTGAAGGATGATAATGGCAATAGTAATAAATATAAAAATAAGATGACAATGGTGGTGGGTAGTGGCAGCAGTAACAATCGGTGGTGGGTGGCGATGGTAAGGAGTGAGGTGGGGCAGTGGCGGTGATGTTGACAATGACAATGGTGAGTTGGCGGCAGTGGTGGGATGGCAATGGAACTAGGGTGTGGCAATGGTAGTGATGGTAGTGGGGATGGTGGTGGTGGGGCGGTGGAGGTAGAAGTGGAGGTGGAGGTGGAAGTGGTGGTGGGGCAGTAGAGGTGGTGGGGCGGTGGTGGTGGTGGGATGGTGGTGGTGGTGGTTGAGTGATGGGTTTGGTAAGGTGGCGATAGTGTTGGTGATGGGCAGCGATGATGGTGGGAGTGGGGGTGGGGCGATGGGGGTGGGCATGGGTGTGAGTATGGGTGTGGTGGTTGTGGTGATGGCGGTAGGGCGGTGGTAGGACAGTTCTAAACATTATTTTTAAAAAAAATATTTATGAGAAATAAGTCCTAAAACTATTTTAAAAAAGTCACTCCAAACACACTCTTAGAGGTCTATTTTTCTTATTAAATTTGAAGTGTTAATATAGTCGTCAGATTAACTTTAAAGTAAAATTTAAAGAGATCTCAACTGCAAATAGCAAAAGTCATTTTGTTTATTTTTTAAGATTTGAATTGTATTTAATTTATTACATAGATTATATTATTTCACACCAAAAAATAAAATATAATATATATTTAATCGTGTAATTCAAATTGGTAATTATATGTGTATAATAATTTAACATATATAAAACTTTACTTCTTTATATACATATAGAAAATTGTATGTAACTGTCCCACTAATAAATGAGTTCAAAAAAATTTAGAAGTCTTTATAAAAGAGTACAAAATAAGCTAAAAGTCAAATATGAATAAAAAATAAAAATTAAATAAAAATATATAAGTGAGTATAATGACTTTAGTATAATATATATATATATATATATATATAATGGCTTTGACTGCCCAAGGTTATTCAAACTAGATAATAAAAATGGCTCCATGCGCAACAACACCAACTATCAGAAACATCCACTGATTTTACATGTGATGTTGTGAATAACGACAATTTGGTATAATCAGTAGTGGGATGGCAATAGAGTAGAAAAAAATGGATATTCATCCAAATTTATTCCGTTTGAACAGAAGGTGGATCGAATGTATTAGACAGTGGATATATATGAGAATACCCGTATAAATCTGTGCAATAATAATGGCGAAGATAGACTGAAACTCATCCACATTTGTTATACAGTTTGTTTTTGTAAGTTATTATGTTTGATTCATTTGTTATATAATGAGTTTTCTTCCATCTTGTAAATTCATCTGTGATGTTTTATAATTTTTTTAAAATTTTTTTCGTAAAATTCTAGAAATTAATTGTTATGGTTGAAAATGGTGGTAAGAATGAAAACAAGGATTAAAATTTACTCACGGGATGAGATGAGGATTAAAACTTTTGCCGCTAACAAGATGAACCAAAAGTGAACGAATATTCTTTTAAGGGAGTACGGGAGTGGAGCCTACTCCTCCCGCCCCTGCTCTCACCCCAGTCCACCACCATCCCTAGTCAAATAGCTAGATATGGAAGGGGTATGGAACTTCGGCCCGAGGCTAATTCAAACTAATGAATGTGTGCTAATGCTTAAGTTGAAGGTAACCCAAACCCAATGGAAATGGGCTGGACTGGGTTGGAGAATAATACTTGGGCTTGAGTTGAAATTACACCTAAGCCCAACCATATTATCTATGTCAACATATTTATTGGGTTGGATTTGACTAACCTGTCCACTAGTATCCAGTGAACCACAATCTTCTAGATGTGCACCGTACACATTCCTTTGCACTTGTATATGGTGCTTTTATTTTATTTTATTTTTTTATTTCTCATTTTGATTAATTAGATTTCTCTAGAAATATAATATAGTAATTTGGAATCACATTAGAATTGTCTCGTAACGAAGTACACTTCACTTTTGTTATACGGGATATACTCAAATAACATGCTCGTGTCTAGCTAGTGCACATGTTGAAGTTTTCTTCACGTTCTAACATCAACTAAATATTTAAATATATATAAAAAAAGCATTAATTATATATTTAAGAAATTATTTATATTAATTGGGACTACGATGGATACAAGCATTGATCAACACAAACTATTATTAAATCATTTTTTTATTGTAATATTGAATATTTACTGGATATGAAATATTTAACAATAAATGCATGGGGGCCTTTTGCTAATAAGACCTGCATTATTGACTTTGAAAGAAATGAATAAACTTTTGATTTTTCTTTCTCTTTTGCCTTCAGCTTCCACCCTCTCTTCTCCATTGTCAAACTTTGTACCAACCAGCTTTTAATTTTATTTGGGAGTGGTTGGGGAGGAAGGTTTAGACAGAGTGTACCATATAAAACTATAATTTATAATATAAGACATTTATAATTTATAATATAAAACATGATAAAATTCAATAAGTTCATCCGACGGTCTCAAATAGACTCATTAAACGACCACTAATATCTCTCTCAAAATCATTCATATTAAATTTTTTTTTCTCCCAAATCCATCACTTACCACTTATATTGCACCGTTCCTTCAGTACGAATTATCCTTAGTAAAAGAATATGCCTAAAACCATTCATAGTGTGGTATGAAAAAAAAAAAAAATAAAAGAGGGGCATAACAGAATCCAATAGTGATTAACTAGGTTAGGCTCGATAGGTAAAAATTTGAATAGGCTACACCATTCGGCTAACCACCTCGTGGTCTGTTAACTAATAGTCTTAAATGTGAGATCGTCCAAGCCCATAAACCTTTTAGATTAATAATTATAATGTAAATTTCATATGTACATAATCATCAAATTAAGTTATTCGAGTTCGATTTAAGTTAAGGTCGTTCAGGTTTGTCTCGTTATTTAAACAAATCGAACGTAAACACTTTTTTAGGTTTGTTTAAAAAAAGAGTTTGATAAGTTTGAGTCGAGCTCAATAAATCAGTTTGACTTGTTTATATGTAAATACTCGGACTTATCTTAGATTCGATTCTTTCTGAACTTGTTCAAACTTAGCTCATTTTCTAAATAACTTGAATTTTAACAATTTTTTTTGAACTCGCTTAAAAAAATGAGTTCGATATACTCAGTTCAACATCGTTTAATTATCAACCTTACATACAAATGTCATTGACTAATGATTTTTTTGTTAACGATTAGAATCTTCTATACTACTAGATAAGCCATTTAAATACCGTTGGTTAAAGAAATATAATAACCAAGGTTTGGAGGTAGTAGGTTGGCGCAACCATTTGACTTTGTAAAACCAAACAAAGTCATAGTACAGCTATGAGCACATACACATTACCAAAAACGCGTTTTCTCCGTCCCCAATACACTAATGTCTTAAAATGGAAAGACCCTTCTTCTAATCATCTCATGCGCACAAAAGCCTTAACCTTCTTGTTAAAAGACAACATAGCAGAAAATTCCCAAGCTTTCAAATTCTCTCCGGTGGCCGGAAAACCAACGTTAAAATTCCCTCTCAAGGATTTCCAACTTTCTATTGATCAAAATGTGTCCTTTAAGGTTCATCTTGGTGTTTTTCTCGGCGGTGTTGGCGGGATATTTTGCGTGGAAAACAGTTCGTTCTTCGCCGGAAATTGAAATGGCGATTTCGGATGATTCGATGAGGGAGAAGGTATCCTCCGAGGACAAAGAAAAACTTAATTTGATGAAGGTATAACTGTGATTCTTTATTTTAAAGATTCTTTCTTTTCCCTTTCTAAAGTTTGGTTTTCTGATGTTATGCAAGATTAGTAATTTTTTATTGTTCTTATTCTTATTATTTATGATACATGAATATTTTAGTTTATTCTAGAGTGTTAAAAACTGCAAGGGACATCTATTTTATTATTTTCAATTACTTTCCTAAAATTAGGAATTTAAGTCATTTTTTAAAAACCTTTAGAAGTTGAGGAGTTTTTTTAAATCGTCCTATATACTATAAATTCTATTGAGTCAAAAATATCAATAATATTTAAGAGAGTTTTTCCCGTAAATTTAGAGTGTTGTGTGCGTTTAGGGTTGTAATCAAACTGAGTTTTGCGAGTTCGGATTGAGTCTATCGAGTTTGTTTTTCTAAACAAACTTAAAAAATTATTCAAGTTTAGCTCATTTAAAAAATGAGCCGATCTCTAATAATTCAATTATTTTACATATAAACGAGTCGAGTTTTGCGAGTTCGAGCCTAAAAAAATTCGAGCTCGACTCGTGTTTTAAACGAACCGAACTCGAGTCGAATTCTCCTCGAGCCGAGCCTAAGTAGCTCGATTTAATTATCAGTCATATGCATGCTGATATATGATAAAAATGACAATTTCTTTGTGTCCCATTCCCATTGGGTCATTTTCCCATCCTAACTTCTAATTCTTGGGTTTCAGATGGTTCAAAATGGCTTCTGGCTATTTGTTGACATGGCCAGTGGGAAGTACTTGTGGAGGAATCTGAGAGAGATGAAAGAATGATGAGAAAGTGAAGAGCTGATAGAAATCAACAAATGAAAGAATCGGTTTTTTTCTCATGAAAAATTTCTATTGACAATCAATCAGTGAATTTAGGTAGATAAAATTTCTTCCATACGAGAGCGGGCCTTAGCATAACGATAAGGTTGTTTCATTGTAATATGAAGGTCACAGGTTTAAGCCGCGAAAATAACCTATTTAGTTGAAAGTAAAACTATACATTTAACAACCCTAAACTTTGTAATTCTTTCCACCTATTTTTTTGAGAGTTCTTCTGTGTTCAATATGTGGAGAGATCTCAAAGAGATTGAGATTTACTGAAGACCAATGAATATTAATTGATGAAGAACTTACAAGAGGAACATGTAGATTCTCCCCCCGCCCCCCCCCCCCCCCCCCCACTTTTTTTTCCTTGCATAATTCCCTCTTGCTCACTAGAATGTCGGTGTAAGAATCATATCATTATGCAATGTGAAGTTAATTCTCTATAGTGCTCGTAACATATAAACACTCATCTAAATGATATGAAATTATAACATTTTTATATAAGTAAATTTTGTTTGAAATTAGTCAAAGACTAATTTATAAACCAAACATGGTGTTAGATGTGATAGGTTAAGGGGAAAACAATCAATGATACCATATTTAATCACTATTTTTCATGGATCCCTCAAAAGCGCTGATGTGTTATATAAGCACCAGAAATGATAGGATATAATCATTAAATTCCAACCAGTCCAATTATATGTGGGTTTGAGTTTGAGTTAGATAAGAAATGATATTTTTTTAGATCTCCCATCAGTCCAATTTTGTCATCCAAACACACCCCGAAGGTTGGATATAGTTCATTTTCAATTTAATAGGTACACTTAATTAGGTTTGAATTACATTTTTCAAAATAAAAATCAAAAATTTATTAGAGTTTCCCGTCAAGATCGTTACATTCGGTCATTCCATCCAAATCCATTAATTTGTTTCAACATAATGAGTCATAAGATTTGCCCATAAGGGTATTTTATCTAACAAAAATTATCTCTTTTTGATACGTCGATATTTCTCGCTTTGACTCGCTGTATTTGTCAAATGCTCCTTCTATACATTTTTTCTTTGGAATTTGTGATCTTATTTTTCTCAAAACCAGATGAAACAGAATAAGGTTTTTCTACTCTGCACATAATTTTTTTTTTTATAAATATACTTTAAGGATTTTTTCTTAATAAATGTATGAACTAAATTGAAATTCAATTAAAACTTTATGGATTTCATTGCTGCAATTGAAACTTAAGAGCACCAAATAAAAATTAACTGCATACTTTAAGGTTGTAAATTATAATTTATCCTTTTTTTTATATATACGGATAATAATGGTGAAAATTTGGCCAACTCCCAGGGATGAAATAATAAGTCATTTTGGTTTAGGAGTTCACCTAATTTTTTCAATTGGTTATGTTTAATTTTTGGGTAAATTACACCAACGACTCCTGAGGTTTGTCGGTATTGCACTTTGGTCCTCAAAGTTCACATATTTTCTCCTTCCTCTCTATTTTCTTCTTTTTTTCTCTCCTAAAGTATCTCTCTCCCTGCATCATCAGTCCCTCTCCACTCTCGGTCTCTCCCCTTCAAACAACACAGACCTCTATTCGTTTTTACGTTTCAAACACTTGAAAACACACAACACACCCACCAAGGTCGCCCCATACATAAAGCCACTAAAACACGGTTTTTAGGCCCCAGTTAAAAAAGATGCCCCAAATTTATAGGTTTATAAATAATTCAAAAAATTTAAACACATAAAAATTGAGTTCAGCAAAAAATCCAACTAAAATTTCAACCAACAAAAAATTTTTAGTTAAATGATTTGGGCCCAAAAGTCCGAGCCAACGACATACAAAATTAAATTGGATAAAAAAAATAATAAAGTTGAAAATATGCAAAAACAGTGCACGGTAGAAAATAAACATGATAATGTATATTTACAATTCATATGGATTGTATTATTGAATAGTTGCACGCAGAAAACATGAGTATGAAATAGTATATATGTAATGTTTAATATATCTTAGATGCCTAAATTATCAACAAAGAAAAATTATGATGCACCAGACAAAAGACAAAGATTTGACAGTGAGGAACACGCAAAAACTATGAACATTACAAGATTTGCAAACACGTCAATTCTTTGTATCAAAGGAGGCACAATAAGGTCCTAAAAATTTAGGGGCCAACTTAAATTTCAGCCCTTCATTTACCTTCATATTCTTATGTCATTTTGAATGGACCAAATTAAAGGTCTAATATACATTACAAGCCTATGCAAAGTCTTATAAAAAGCCATAAAATATAACACAAACTTCTAAAAAAAACTTAAAAGGAACGACTTTTACCCTTAAAAATAATACTCCCTCTCAAATTCCTTTGATATCATCTGTAAGATTCTAATGTCATAATTGTACCAAATTTATTGTTTGATCTCAAAATCAATAAACGTTACAAATAAATCATACCACAATTCTGTTTAAAATGTCTAATAATTATAATTTTTTTATTATCTTCCTAAAATATTAATCGGAGTTCCATGCGAAATTCTCGCACCCCAAATGCACAATTATGTATGTCCTTCTCTCACTCAAATACATCAACATTTGCCAGTTGGCTCCTGGTTGCTTTGGCTCGCCTGTCCTATCCTATTAGCCTATGTAGCTATACCCAATCCGGAATAGAGTCAGACTTTTCCTTTTTTTTTTTTTTTTCATTCACGCCTAATCATTTACTTTATAGAATAAAGGTCATGTGAAAACTTATAAACACTAATACACACCCGAAAATTATCCGATGTGGGATAGCTCAGTCTCCCGATACCCCAACGTAATTACCATGACTGTAGGGCCTAACGGCCCAACATATGAGATTTCAACCCAACACCGAACACCCTTTAGAAAGAGGTTTTAGTTTTTTTAATTCATACCTGATCACTTACTCTACAAAAAAAGGGCTAAGTAAAGACTTATAAACACACACACACCCGATGCTATCCGATGTGGGATAGCCCGACTTTCCCTTGAGATATCTCCTTCGTTGCGGCGAACAAGCACGCCCACTTAATAAAGGTTACACATAAATAACACCACACAATCCCACAAATACCTGACCAGTCGTATCATCCATCGACAATCAAGCTCCAATTCACAACTGCTCAAAATTGTTCACCAGTCAAATTTGGTATCTCAATTCCAAAGTTGAATTGATGTAGAATTAGGTTTGGATTTTGATTCCAAAGTTGATAAAATTCTCTCTACATCTCTGTTTCGTTTGTTTCCATCTTGAATTATATGTTCTATTTTTGTGAAATTTATTTGGGAATTGATGCTTCTGGGTTCATGGGTCGCAGGGGAAAACCAAATGTTGGGGTGAGTTGATCATGGGCCTGTGTTGGCTTTTGAGTGGATGTGGAGATGAACGGGATTTAGATGAGCCGTTGAGAGAGAGAGAGAGAGAGAGAGAGATTTATTCAACGATGATCGCCAACATTCAAGGGTGAATCGGGAAGGATGGGACAGTGGAAGTGGGTGCTGTGTGCTGGCATTCTTCAAGGGAGTAAAGGGTGGGGAAGCGAGTATCATTGTCGCCTCCGGTGTAATGTTACGGTTTTTTTTAGCCTTCTCTCGTTTTCCATTTGTGTCATTTGTTTCGAAAGCGCAATAACAAAAATGCCCATTAATACTATCACGTGTCAAGCACATGTAATTTTTCAGACTATAGTTAATGCCCACAACCATATTGATCGAGTAATATTTGAAAATCAAATTGACGAAATTATAATTTAAAGACCCGAGAATGACCAACTATATAAACCTCAAGGAAAATTTGTACAATTTTCCCTTTTTGTTTACAATTTTTTATGATGTTATATATAATTCTTTAAGATAATTTACAACTTTTGGAATTTTGCAATATACCCTTTGAGGCATGTTTGGTTCAAGTACAAACAAAGACTGAGATTGAGTAATTAGTACCCATCCCATCCATAAAAAGATATTAACAAAAGTACTATTTAATCTTATCATTGTATAACAAGTTTGGATCAAGGTTGAAATAATATAAAAATCTATAATTATAATATTAAATTTATGTTTGGATTAAGTAATAGTATATGATATTAAATTAAAAATGACAAAACAAATATTGAAAGTATGAATTTACATAATGTATAACTTTTATATGAAGGTGTGACCGTAAGTTTACAAAGATAATAAAGTCATTATATTTTTAATAATTAACTTGTTAAAAATAATACCACCTACTATATAGTATACATTGCTACCAAATATTAGGTGTTACATGATAATAATAAACTGGATCAGAATTAATTAAATTAATATCGAATCGCTATAATTTCAGCCAAACTTAATACTATATTATTATGGGATTAAATTAATTCAATCTAAAAGCGGATATATAATAATTAAATGTATAATTAATGATGCATCAAGAATAAAATTAAAAAGAAAAATATATTAGAGGGTTCTCTGTACAACAATATCCCAACGATCCGTGTGTACTTCTGGTTACTAGAAA